TTGTGAAAGTTTGAAAACAAAGTTTTTAGTGTTTTATTGTTAAATAAATATTTACTTTATTTTTATTATAATTATTGTTGATTTGATATATTTTTTTGACTTTTAAATGCAAGTAAATATACACTTATAAAGTCATGGCTTACATAAATAATGACACTTACAACGTTTTGTTCTCTCAGTTTTTTTTTAAATTAATTAAAGCATAAACTATTTTATTTCACTAGACTTCAAATTTGTATGTCTATAGTGTAAAATGACTATAGGGTTATAATTAAACCAAAGTTTAATAATAAAAATATTAAGAAATTATTCCTTTATTATTTTTCATCAAAATAATTTTTTGTTTCTGAAAAGTGTTATTTTGTGCACTTTGAGCGTTATGGTTTGCTAAAAGCAATTCAAAATTTATATACTGAAACTGACACCTCATTCTCCGTTTAAGCTCTAGAACACTGCTTGCGACCGTTGCTTAAAAAATCATTTAACTTGTCTTCAGAACAAAATTAACTAGACTTTGACTATTTCACATTTTCTGGAGATCCTACTACCGACGAACATCCTTCGATATTTTTTTAAAGCGATATATACTCCTTTCTTCTTCCTCTTACCACTAATCTTGAAGTTGTAGCCATTACTGCATGGTGTTCAACCTAACTTACTATATGTAGTCCACATATTTCTCCTAATTTAAAAGAAAAAGAATTGATTGATCTTTTTTTTTAAAATTCATTAACCATTCATACTTATAAACGACTTTATTGCTTATAATACTATGCCATTAAAGCAAACGAAATGTCTGAAATTCAGACGTACATTTAAAAGGTTTAAAAATATTAAAAACTTTTAAATGTATCTGGTTCCTGTCTATTAAATACCTACGTCCTAACTACGTCCTTTCTCTGCTATAGATGTTAGCATCTGCGACCGTAAATCATTACCCTTTCTGTCCTGGAACACTTGCGATGATTTGCACGATAGTAATCATTTTCGCAATATAATCTCTTCATACTCTAATCAGGAATATACTATTTGCAATTACTGGAATCTAAAATTTGCTGAATGGACAAGATATACAATTAAAACGTCCACTATACTCAAACTTTTAATTCAGATACAAATATTTTCCTTAAACAAATAACCGACTGTATAACTTTAACGGCTGATAGGTATGTTGGTAAAACATCATTATATCTCACCCGCAAAACAGCCCGTTGGTGGAATTCGACATGCAAAGAAGCTATCTACAAATCCAAAACGCTCTCAACAAATTGCGCAGCAATAGCACTCCTGCCAATCTTATACTGCACAAAAAACTTAAAGCCAAAGCCAAATATATCATTAAATAAAAAAAAAACTTCTTGACAAAGTTACGTCTTATCCTTAACAATTCATGTCTGCCCAAGTCAGATCTGGAACAAAATAAAACGTATACAGGGTTGCAAATCTAGTGATAAATTTTCTAATCTTATCATAGACAACAAAGCTCTCTGTGATAGCCAATCGATATCTAACGCTTTTGCCCTCTAGTTTGAAGAAAATTACTGTTTTATTGGAAATAAGCCACAATTAAAGTTTAAAATAAGTTTATTTCATTTTAATTTCCACTTTGGAAATCTTTCTGAATAGACAAACAAATTATTAATTTATTAATGTTTGTATTTTGAAAACGATTTTCGAAGTGGACATTGAAGCACCAATAAACTTATTTTAAACATTAATGATAGCTATTTCCACTAAAATAGTAATTACCATAAGATGCCACAAAAAAATACCTTCAGAACAAAAACTTTGAAAAAAATTTAAATTTTTCGTCCAATTCCTCTTTCGTCCGTTCTATTATAAATAATTCTATTGACCCTCTTGACATTACACTCCATTGAACCTTTTACCTTCTTTAACTAAAATTAGCCTTATTGATTTGTAAAAGCAATGCAGCAGGCCCTGATAACATCCCATACATTTTCTTTAAAAATCTATCCGATATCTCCCTTTGAGATGATGTGATTTTAGCATTATTTCAATAAAGAAAATAATTAACCCTCCTTATTAACAAAGTCTTATCGTCCTATTTCTCTTACTAATACTATATAGAAACTTCTTGAAAAAATTAATAATAAAAGACTTCTACGGTTTTTAGAAAAGTGTAATCAAATTCCAAATTTTTAATCCGGGTTTCGACGTAATCGATCCACTCGCGATTCTATTCGATTCGATTCAAAACACTACTCTTCGTCAATGCCTCAGAGCTTTTCGGTCGACTCCGCAAGAACGTTGTCTTTACTGACAACATCTGCTTCTATCATATACTTTCACTACACCCATTTAACATTCTAACACAATTTATTGTCTTACTACTTCTATATCTGATTATTCCATTAGTAATCCCTCTCGTACAGTTATAGAGTCAGTGCAAATATTCGCCCGTCTACTAAAGAACACTGACATATCTCTCACCGTGCCCATCCCTTCTAGGAAGGAAGCCTTCTTAGAAATGGTAAACAAAACATATTTTGATTTGAGCTGAGCTATTTAGCATCCTCCAAGTCTTTAAATTCACTTCCACGTCATTCTAAAATTAAAACATAGCAATTTGCACTGAATCCTTTTCCTGTATATTTTCGTTTAAATTAATTGTCATCCAGTAAATGTGGATCCGTCGCACATTGACTTTGTCAGTAACGAAACTGCTGATGGCCATGCTAAAGAAGCGAAGCAAGATCCTTGAAGCTAAGGTTAAAAAGTCAATCATAGAATCTTGGGAAGCACGTTGGAATAACTCGGATATAGCTCTACGCAGAATTCATCCTAAAATTAACCGGCCAAGTCTTACTAACCTAACTCGCAGCGAATCACGGATAACTAGAATAGTACGAATCGGATATTGACACATGGCTAGTTAATGTTAAGGTGTCTTGAGGACAATTTGTAGGTTAAAAAATAAAAAAAATAGTTTTGATATTAAGTATATACCATTAATTGATAATGTGTCAATGAAACAAATATATACATATATATAATATATATATATATATATATATATATATATATATATATATATATATATATATATATATATGAAAATCACTAGGTTCTCGGGAAGAACCGCGTTGAGAATTTAATGCTCGACGTTTCGGCTCCCATTTTGGAGCCAATATCAAGAGGGATACGGTTCGGTTCAAGTTCAGGGTCTCAATCTGCCTACTCCCCTCACTCGAAACGTACCAGTATCGTGTTCTGTATTATAAATACAAGAACTGTCTCTCGGCACTGAGGTCTCAATCTGCCTACTCCTCAGTGTCGAGTACTCTTTTTAGTCTACCAAGCTTTCGCAAATATTTGTCTTATTTATATATACATATATATATATATATATATATATAATATGTATATATATATATATATATATATATATATATATATATATTGTTATGATGTGTTGTTGTTGTATGAGCAATGAGTAAATTTGAATGATATATGTAAGTATAGGGTTTTTATCGCGGTTCTCAAAGAATTAGTTTGTAAGTACTTTTTTAAATTATCTTTATTATAAATGTTATGAAACAAACCTATCTATCTAATATAAGCAATATCAATTTAAAACAATCTATCTAAAATTTGAAATTCTTACAATTATTAAATTATTAACAAAATTTGGTACCTTCTTTTACTGAACGCCTAAAGTTTTTCCAAAATGAAAGTTATTATCACCACTCGATATCTTCTTACTAAGCCTTGGTTATCCAACTATGTTAATATGTTAAATCTTAATTATTTCCACTCACCATATAAATATATATTTAACTCCTTGTAATTTCCATATACTTAATGTACTTTGAAATATACTGAATCTTGTGGTTGTATTATTGAATGCTTATTTCAATGAATTAACTTCAAAACTGTCACTATATTACTGAAGTAATAATCAATCTCCAACTGTATTTAACTTATTAATTCATTAAACTTAATCAATGCCTTCTTCTAGCATTGAATAATCTCTTCATAACCTCATAAATAACTGACTTAATAATCCTTAAATTGTTATAACTAACTCCTCAATAATAATCTTGTAACTGATTTAATATCTTCTAACTAACTCACTTAACTCAATTAATAATCTTCTTGTAACTAAATTCTTGAATTATAACTTTACTAACTGATAACTGGTAACTGATTTGAACTCTAACTGAACTGAACTAAACTCTAACTCATACTGACTTTAACTGACTTATCTCGCCAAATTACATGGCTTTATATATATTTTTCATTGTTTCCAGAGTATTCTAGCAACAAATAATCTTCGAATCATTCTATTTTTTCTATTTGAAAATTCTGGAATGGTTTTTTTGTCTGTTATGTATTATGTATACAGTCCCATTGACATTTCTAGAGTTTTCTATCTATAATTTACTTGACTTTAGGCTCTCCAGATCAGAACTACACTATTATGTAACTTAAACATTTATATGAAATATATTTTTTACTATTCTACATCCACAATTATATTCTAAATTAACATTCCAAAAATAAATAGCTTTTTGACTTTGACACTACAGTGTATGTTTGGTTGCATATGCTGACTCAAAAATATCTAATATTAAATCAAATAAAAAAAACTTCGTAAACTTAATTCTTATGCCAAATTCTTAAAAATACCCTCATATAATTATTTTTTAATAATATTATCTAGTATATAACTTACAAATTATGTCTCTAACCACTATTTAAATAAATCCACTAATCAACACTGTATATCTGGTTGTATATATTTCTAAGTTAATTTATTGTATTTCCGTTTCTTCAGAATTTAAATTTATAACATCATCATTACTGTTATTTAAACTCTGAGATAAAGATTTTAAATCATGGGTTTTATCTGCATAATTATTATCACTAAGTGATGCCTGACCATCTTTTATACTAAAAAGATAACCTCGCTTTATTGATTACGAACAAATTACCTTAATATTACATTAAAAATAATTGTACAACAGTAAACTTACCCCTCTTGGCAATCTGCACTGTTTGTTTTTATTAAGCTTAAGATATATTTTCATCTTGAATTCATTATCAAAATTATGTAATACCAATAGATATTATCTTCTCAAAATCTCATTAACACAACAACAAAATTGACAACCACCACTCAAGTAATGAAATAGTTTCTGGAAGTACCACAAAATTAAACTCCAAAACCACGCAAGTCGAACTTAAGAGTTTTCTGCTAACAGTTAGTTTTACGGGGTTTTTGTAGATGTCGCTAGTACCATTAAATTTAAATATAGACTTACAAGATTTCGTAGTTTAAAAGATATGGAAAAATATAAACCAAAAAAGTATAAAAGTCATAATTGACCAAAAATCGACTTACGAGGTTTTGCAGTTTAACCGTCGTTATGTGTATTGTTGGTTGCAAACATTTTTTTTTATAAATTAATAATATAATTACTTCAATCTATCTCTTTAACCCGTTTGATAAATTTAATAATGTTTAAATTATAAGAATAACTCTAAAATAAATAGTAAATAATAGCAACACAAAACTAAAGGTTTTTTAAAATGGTTTTAAAAAGTATTAAAAAAAAACTTTTTGCGCATTTTTTCCAATAAAAATTTGTTATTTTATATACAGGATGTTGACTGATGTTATGTACCTATCAATTACTATGATACCAACTTTAATATTTTAAATGAAACATTGGTTATATTATAAAATTTTTGGATTCTGCACAAAATTCCCAGAACTTTGATATATTGCATGTTATAGTTTTAATTAACTTATTTTAGGATACAGGGTGGTTAATGAATAGATCACTCTCTGCATGTCTCCTTATGCCTTTAAAAGGTTCTATACCTAATTTCAATAAATAAGAGTGAGTTCAGTTTCGTATCTCAACTTGTTTTTAATAATGTATATAGTATATACTCATAAGATATGTATCTATATTTTTTTAACATAGATATTATGTCAAATAAATGAAACTGCGCAAGTCTGCACATAAGAGTAGGTCAGGCTCTAGACGCTAGTCTACTTTTCCTCACTTTTCTCTGTCGCACTGAGGAAAGGGATCTTTATTGCAACAGTTAGTCCATTTGTATTTTATGTCTATGTATCAAACTGATATCTTCATATCACTATTAAATCTACAAAAATAAGAAATTGCAATATAAACAAAATTTGTTCAGTACGTGTCTAGAAAAGAACTAAAAAAAGGAATTTGGATATAGAAACGTCAACTACATGTGTAGTATAAAAATCAAATTTATTCTTTTAACCAAAATGTTCACACCAAGTTTGATTGTATTAAAATATTCGGTAGCTCCAACTAACTGTACTCTATAGTATTCAGTTATCCATCTCAATATGTCCAACTTTATTTTTTTTTTATTTTTTGGATAGAATACAAGAAATATGACACAATATTTAATAATACATATTTTATTTGGCGTTTCGATGTTTAAATAGGAGTTCCCAGTTGTTTCGCACTTTGTATTTATTTGTGATATTATCCATAGCAGGTTCATATATTTCTTTAATAATATTCTTTTTTCTGCAACGCTCAATCGGCTGTTATTTTGTTTTTTCGTCGTCCATTTAATTTTTTGCTTAAAAAGGAGCGATTGCCAGTATATATTCTGTTGTTAATCTCGTTTGTAATGTTTTTATTAACAGTGATTTTAGTTCACACATAATTAGACCGATGAACCATTTCAAAGTTGTACTGGTCTATTGACATGGTATGTCTTATCATGTTTCTCTTTTAATGATATATTTTTTTATCCTCGTTTATATGAAGGACCCATTTTTTCCGCTTTTTCGTATTGAATTTATCGAAGTTTTTGTTGTTACTATTGTAGTTCTGCAACTACATAAAGCATTATTAAAATATCAATAGACTTTTTGTTAGTTTTGATTCTTCTCGTATAATTAGCCCAGTAACAGAGAGTCATTCCATCCAATAAGGTTGGAGGCTGCTCAGTCATCAAAGACAATCATGCCATTCAGTAGGGATGAAGGCTGCTTAATCATCAAAGATAGTCGTTCTATCCAGTAGATGAGGTGGCTGCTCAGTTATCGAAGAGATGAGTTCTATCTGTCAAACAAGAGAGTCGTGTCTTGGTTAAGGGGTAGCTTTGCGCTATAGCTGATTCTTTTGTGGTTTCTGTGTGTCAAAGGAGTAAGGTACAATATACATATTTGCTGCCAAAATTACTATGCTACTGTATCGAGTACCGTTTGAATAATAATATTAATTTTGTTACGAATTTATCTTTTATGCTGAACTCTAATAAATCTTTTACCGCGAATTGGAAAACATGTTTTAACCTTTATTTGAAACATTTATCGTTAACGTTCAGTGTACCATTTTACGTTTATCTAAATAAGTATTTTCTATATTGTGTAATAGCTGTAGTTTTATTTTACTATTGTATCTGTATAGGTATAATGTATAATATCATATTATTTTGTATATTTATAAATATACAAAATCCTCCTAATTGCATTACATTGATATTTATGTGGCAATTAGCTAAGTCATTAGTCTTTCCAGCCGTATCAGATTTTCCCCGATTTTTTTTTGTAGACAAGCGCTTTAGTTTGTGTAATATAATATCCCCGATTCGTTTCATAATATTTAGTTTTCAAATCAGCTGTAACGCTAATTCGTTCACCTTTTTTAAATCCCTATATATGAGTTGCGACCGATATCGCAATTTTAATACCTAAGTTGTTAAAAATAAGTTATTTTAAATTAAGTCTTTAATACCTAAAATTATTACTATACAAATCTGATTCGAAATATCGTCAAAAGTAATACACGGCATGTAAAATTTAAATTTTTAATCTAAGTAAAAGATTAGACATTACTTATGGGGTTCAAAGAACGAGCTTGTACGAAGATTGAAGTACTAATAAGACCACCGCAATCGGGCATACCCCGGGTAATGATTAATTAATTAATCGCCTAATTCTTTAGTCACCCCTTTAATATGATTTTGTCAAATTGGTGCTTTTTAGGACCAACTATTCTAATAACAACTGTTAAGGGTATATCTAGAGATAATGAAACTTTACTTAAACTTATCAGACATATGCGCTAAACACGAATCTGAGTTATTTCTAGAGCAGGAAACACATATAGGGCCTAACCTAGGGCACTTGGTATAAAGCTGATCGCTAAAAACCCCATTATAGATATAAACATGCTATTTCTATCGAAAACGAAGCAAAGAAAAACTTAAAGTAAGAAAGAACAAAACCAGTCAGCTGAGAGAACTTTTAAACGACGTTGAGCTTGGATCCACCATATAGTAAATATACTACAATGGCTTATCCGGATGATGAACAACTGTATTCAAATTATGAAGATACCCAAAGTCTAGAGACAAGCCAAATTTGTCCAAAATCGGTACAGATCTCGGTTGACAGAGTAATAGTCTAATTTTGTAAGGAGTTTTACCTTTAGTTTTAGACTTATTGTAATCATTAATTTTGAATTAAGTTAAACTAATGTACCCCTTCCTAAACAAGATGGCCTAGTTGCCTGGTTTCAACTATAACGAGAATGATATCTTGATGGAAGGGGGTTACAACTACTGGAGGGTTTCTGGGTAGCGCCCCCCTCCGGTTACGCCACTGCATGGTTTAGTGCTGAGTGTCCGGACCACAAAAGTGTAGTAGACTTTCGAAACGGACCATTACGGAATATAATTTGTGACCCCTGCTCTAGAAGATAAGTAGCTAGAGGACGAAAGAAACCAAATCTAGATTCGCAAGATTCACTTTTCGAATACCAGCCCATTGTACGATGGCTCAAATCAAGAAAAAACTGGTCAGATCAACACATTTGCAAGATATATCAGAAAAAACATGTTAATAATAAGACACTAATTTGTTTTAACGTAATTTAGCAGAACTAAATACAGCGTACGAAGAAATATTCGGAAGTAAAAGAAAACATAAGTAAATAAAGCGATCTTTAATATTACAGTACACAACAACAAGGGCAAGAAACTGATAACAGAATTATTGAAACACATGCAGACATTTGCGCCATTCAAATGAGGTAAAAAGGTCACAGGTCACAAGATTTAGCAACGACATAGCACCAGGTATGAAGTAAATCTTAAAAGTATACAACATAAAAACGGAAAACATATTTCAGTAGGCAAGATCGACAAAAGTATACTTTTATCAAGCGGACACAAATCAGTGATATACTAAAACTATGTGTGATAGTGATAGTGATATACTAGTTGAGGAAAAAAAAAATTACAACAAACCATGAAAATTTGATGATTCGAAGGAAATCTATCGGACTATGGTAACTGACATGCCATCTAGAACGTATTCAGACATGGTCTGAGAGTCAGCAACAACCTTTATTGATAGTCTTAAGCTGTTATGTATAGTACCTGTTATATACTTTAACAACACATCTTTTCAACTACTTACAACTTAGCCAGAATTTTGGTAGCTTGACTCATGTATACCTGGTAATAATTCACTGATGTTGGACTTTTTGGTCCGAAAACGTTATGTGATGTAGCCCGAAAGAGTCTGTTTAATTATATACCTTTTATATATTTTTTTTAAATTAAACTTTTGTGATTCATGGTATACAGTTAACAACACTAATTTCATTTTCCTTGTGGATTAGATTAAAGTTGCATAAAAAATGAAATAGTCTTCTTTCATACAAACATCGACAGTTTTTAGCTTTAGGTGTATTTGAACCACACCTGCTGTAAAAGATCTACCATAAAAAGATTTATTTTACGTACAATTAGCACATTGCCTCTGGAAATGACCTATAGTGCATGAGTCTGATCTGCCTTAGTCGTTGCGGTTTATTTTCCTAAACCATATTGTTATAAGAGCTTTCTTTATTTAGCATGGGTTCTCATTCTATACGGATTTGCAGCGATAACATGAGGATTTTAATGTTTTTTTTAATATTGTTCTGAATCTATTTTAGCCACAATTAAAGGTTAAAGTATGTTTGTTTACGTTTTAATTTCCACTTTGGAAAAGATGGTAAAAAAATTCTTCGAATAATTTAATTTTATCTGACTGATTTATATTGACAAGTCAGACATACATTATACATTTTAAAGTAGACGACTTTAAAAATGATATT